CGCTTTACACATCAAAGGGCTCATGGCCAAATGGATAAGGCGCCTGACTACGAATCAGGAGATTCCAGGTTCGACCCCTGGTGAGCTCGAATTTTTTGTTTTTATTGGTAATCACAATTTACGCGTATTTTTTTTATATACTGTCAATCAATTCTTTATCTCATTCATCTTCAAAGATATGTTTATCGATACCGATATCATTTCTAGTCATACTTTACAGTTTATTATTATTTTTGAATACTAGGTATATTTCTGAAATACAAATGCACAAAACATGCTGTAACATACATATAAATATAACTCTAACAAATTTTATCATGATCGAATCGAATTCATTAATATTTAATTATTGTTTGCTCGATTCCATCTGAGTTGTCGAATATACACTAACCACCCTACCATAACACACATCACTAAAATCATCAAACTTTCCACCCAGGCTTCTTGTTCATCATCATCTTGATCATAATCTAGATCATCATCATCATTTTTTTTTCGAGCATTATATTTCATAATCAATTGTTCGCCCTCGGGTCCAATTTCATCATAAGTTACTGAATCTTTTGAGTTAGAGCCTTCATTCGATATTGCTTGCACCTGTTCTATCGAACCACCTGTTTCGTCTCCTTCACCATCAAAGGGTGAATCATTCCACCATCCATCGGATACCTTATCGTCATTTCCAACATCAACACCTATTAAATAATTCCATATTCGCTTCACGTTTAAATTTATTAATGACAGTGTAACCGGGAGATATGAATCTGGATTATTCGATAAGGACTGATCATACCACCTTTTCGCGAGGTGGAAGTCCTATTTGTTTAAAAAAAAAAAAAAAATTAATAAATTGATGTTAAAAACTTTTTTGATGATACAAAGAGGATATACAATATACTTTGACAACTCCTATGCCATTCTCATGCATCCATCCCAAGTTCCACATAGCCATAGAATTAAGATTTGCTTCTGCAGCAACTTGGTAACATGCAGCAGCTTTTTCATAGTCCACCTCAGTTCCAAAACCTTTAAAATAATAATCTCCCATTTTGACTCGTGCATCAACGTTTCCTTGATTAGCAGATCGAGTCCAGTAAAGAAGCGCCAACTTTTCTCGTGATATATCAGAACTTGAAACTAACTGTGGCAGATGCCACCATGACTTGTCTATTTTTTTTTAGTAAATAATAATGTTAAAATAAGACAGTTAAACAATCTTATCATTTACCACAAACTTACCTTTGTCCAACAACCATGCGACATTTGATTGCCCAACTTCATAACCTCTTTCAGCTCCCATTAGGTAATATATTAAAGCACCATCTCTATCACCAGCTGCATAAGCCGCATGTGCCGAAGAGAATGGTGAGTGAGACCAATCACCTCGTTCAGCGACATTTTTATAAAACTGTTGAATTCAACATCAAAATCATTAAATTTGGTGTTTAAATACAAGAATAAAAATGTTAAAGTAATTACATACTGCGGCTGCCATTGCACATGATTGTTCCACACCTAAACCTTCTGCATACATTTCGGCCAAGTAGTAGCAAGCTAAGAGATGTTGCGCACTATTAGCAGCTTTGTGAAAATAATTGAAGGCGATCTGAGTATCTTTTTTTTCTAGAGATTTAAGTTTGTTAGTAATCCATAAACTAATAATATGATATGATTTTGAAGAAAGGAATCAGAATTGCTTACGATAGTACATTAAACCTAGATTTACTTGAGCGTCAGGATATTCAGCCTCAGCAGCACTTTTAAAGAATTCGATTGCCTTTTCTGGACTCTATATAAAGATTATTTAAAATTATATATGGATGTTTCTGTTAAACCATCATTGATTTATCGTACACTAACCTGCTGAAATTCTATGCCTTCTAAGTACATTAAGCCAAGACCATTATAAGAAGCAGGGTTATGCTAAAAAGAGTAAAATCCATTTGAATTTATTGTAGCAACATGATTATGACCATCGAAAACAGATTAAAATAAAACATACCAGCTGAGCACCTCTCGCAAACCATTTTTTAGCCGTTTGATTATTTTGTTTGACTCCTTCACCGCGAAGGTACATTTGACCCAATATTCCAGCAGCTTGACCTGCCGCCTGAGCAAGTTTTGAATTTGAAGAAGGATCAACTACAGTGTTATCTGACTTCCAATATTGACTTGCTACTTGTTGAAGATAACGCAATGCAAGAGGAAAATTCTGAGGAATATTACGTGTTCCTTGATAATAGAGTTGTCCCAAAACAAGCTATAAAATATATAGTGAGTATAAACTAGTCAATTGACTATCCTCTTATATTTCCTCGAATTCAAAGTCACACCTGAGATGTCATATCTCCTCGATCAGCTGAATAACGGTAATACTCCAAAATGTCTTCCAAAGCAGCCTGATCTCCAGGCTTTGAAGAGCTTCCAGTTCCACTAGCCCCATATCCATAAATGCCACCATCCTCATCATACAACTTTATTTTGTACAAGGGAAGTTGTCGGCCACCTGGTGGTCCCGATCTGTAATGTTTAATTGCTACGATTTAATGTGAAATAGAATATGTTAATGTTGCTGTTAGAATAAAAATAATAAACAAAAGAATATACTTTACCTTTATCTGCGACTCGCTTATAATGAAGTACTGCATTTTCGCAACTACGCGGTACACCGATACCTGTGAAATGTCGGTAAGCTAATGTCATCTCAGCGGCGGTGTCATGCCCGAGTGCTGCAAAAGTATGGTAAAGTAAGGCCTGAAAATTTTTATTACAGTTGGGATAATAACTTATGCAACTTCTGGAAAAAATGATCCATAATATAAAACATACTTTCCCCTGGTCTCGCTCAACTACATTTCCAATGCCAGTCGCGTACATGAAACCAATCATTTGCTGTGCCGTTGCGTTTCCAGATCTATTCGCCAATTCTCGATAATAATGAAAAGCTGCGGTTAAGTTACGTGGGTGGCTATACTTTGCTAACTAAATAAATCACGTATTAAGCATTATGCAAGTGAATTATATGTATGAGGTATATCTAAAGATAAATTATGTATGAGTAAACAACCCACAAAGTTCATCTCTCCGAGGGTAAACAAGGCATCATCATGTGCATAATCAAAAGCAGCTTTCTCTAGAAATTCCACCGCCTTGATCAATTTCGGATTTTTAATTCTTGCGTTAGATTGCTTTCCAATATCCAAATTGTCTGTAATTGGCAGGTGTATACCAGATAGAGAAAATATTAATCGATCCAGAGATCTATACAAAAAAAGTGGAATGCTTGGTTCTTCTCCAAATTCATTGCTCGTTGGTAATTTTTTTTTGGATATTTTGAGAGATCGAAGCAATGACACGGCAGCGCGATATAATTCGTCGGCTAAATAAGGTTAATTATTAGTGAGGAA